TCTCTCTCTCTCTCTCTCTCTCTCTATCTCTCTCTCTTTTCTTTTTTGTTATCTCACCTCCTAATCCCTCTCTCTTTCTTCTTCACACAAAATGACACAATATCCATGGCGAAAATCATAGCGTGACTGATCGAGATGGCGTGACTAATGAGTGCGCGGTGCTGTTAGGAATTTTAATGGTGCTAGAAGGCGTGACTGATTGAGATCTCGTTCTCGAGACGGAGGACCGGCGACTTGACGCGAGCGTCGTTGGTGAAGATGATGTTGGAGGGGCCGACGGTCCCAGCCCGACACCGCCAATGACTGTATCATAGGTGAAGGAGGTGCAAGGTTGGAGCAATTTGCAAGAATAGTATAGAGAACTACTGCAGCGAGCAGATGTCGAAACTTTCGAACGACAATATATGTTGAGTATATAGACAATATATTTTCAGTATATATTGAGTATATAGTGAGTATATGTGTTTCACCATTTATTTTAAGTTTATTAGAAGATTTTTTGTTGATTATTATTTATGTTGTTTTTGGATATTTAGTATATAAGACAATTATGTACATACATATTAAGTAATAATTCAATGTTTTGGAGATTTCGAGTCATCGGCAAGCGGATAGTTTCGATTGGATCTGTTTTCAGTGTTTATTTGATGTACATTTACAGTTTATGTTAGGTATTTTTTGCATATTTTTCTATGAGGAAATTGATACGAGATGACAAATGATCAATTTTTTTTTATTTGTTGATCATTGTTTATGTTGTTTTTCGATATTTAATATATAACACGATTATGTGCGTAAACATTAAGCACATAACACGATTTTGTTATGCATATGTGAATGAATGATATACTTACATTATATCGGGTTGCAATTTTGTTGTTGTTTCAAGACTGTATATGTGATGTTTATATGTTCTATATATTCTTATGCAACGCCGTTACCATTTTAGTCTTCTTAATTTTTCTTCCTAATGTTCTGTCAGGTTGTTATTCATTCATTTAGTCGTCACATGTTATCCCCATGTTTATCAGATGTATTTATTTTTGGAAATTAATTGGTGTTAGTTAGGGAAATTACGGAAGAGAATCCATTTTTTAATTTGATAAACGGATTACATGCATGTTCCTAATTATTTGCTCAAGATAAGGTAACAGTGCAATATTTTTTCTTTGATCGTATATACGCAATTATTTACAAATCATAAACGCAATAATGTAAATGTCCCAAATAAATAGATCGGGTAACATAATTGATAAAATGTGAAATAAATTATGTGATAAGAAAAACAAGCGACAGAAATGCGAAAAAAATTGATAAAATGCAAAATATTTATGCGACAATGCGAACGAGAGGTGGAGAAATTTGATAAAGTAAACCGGTCATTTTCCCTCTCATTTTTTTTTTTCAATTAATGTAGAAGAAAAAATATTGTTACATTTTATCTTAATCAAGTGTAGTAATAATTATAAATTAATTTATTATAATATTAATTACTAATATTAGCTAATTATAAATTTACATTAAATATTCTGTGAC